AGTGATATTTGTTCTTTCTTTCTGCCTTTTGCTGGTGAGTTTGTAATTAGGGTGTGCCAGCAATTTACGTGGGGCTCGTTCGTTTATGGAAGGAAAAAATTAGTTCCTCTTCAAAAGAAGAATTTTATAATGATTTCATACTTTTATTGGGCTTTTCACTATCTACAAATGTTTTACCAATTTCCATGGCAAACCAAGGGCACTGCAGTCTCTCTTGGCTTTATGGTTTGACAGGGAACTTTAGGACAAAACGGGTCCTACCTTGTGATTTTTCCCTCTTCCACAGAGTGCAGTCTGAAAAGCACAGCTACTTAGGTTAGGAATATATTCAAAAGAGGTTACATCAGTAGCTAAAATGTCATGGTTTTTTAAATAGGTCATTAAAATGGAATGTTTATTTTTGTTTGGTTGGTTTTAGTTTGGTTTTTTTGTTTGTTTGTTTGTTTTGGTTTTTTTTTTTGTTTTTTTTGTTTTTGTTTGTTTTTTTTTTCCTGTAAGAAGGAAATTCCTGCTTTTGGACATTATTTTGTAAATAATGTCTAAACATAATCATGTCTCTACATTAGTATGGCTCTTTGCTTTGAGTTCTTTTAGCAGTTTACTGATCAATATTAGACAAGCAATATTGATAATTATATATATATATGTATATATTCGCCATTCAGAGCTGGCAAATATACAAACAGTGAATAAATTATTTCATAAATGTAGTCATTTATTTTTGCAGAGGTAAGGAATATGAGTAAGAAAAAAGTAAAGAGTACATTATGGAATTGAAATTACAATAAATTTTAGGCAGTTATACTGTAGCTGCTCAAGCTGAAATCTCATGTTAGCATATGTGCTGTGTTTTATGTTTATTTTCAGCTTCCTAGTATGACTTTTGCCTTAACTAAATGCAGTGCACAGTAGAAATAAAATCTCAGCTATAACTATCAATATAAATAGGCATCTCAGGGGTATTATATCATCTTTGTCTGTTAAAAAGATTTTACATTCACCCTGTGCATGCTCTCTCACATATAAAAAGACCCATTTTTGGCACTTATATATCTTTATTGGTAGCACTTTAATGTCAAAATTATGTATACTACTTTTAACGCTAGAATAAAATGGATATGCTTCCTACTGCAAATTAGGGCAGTGGTTCCCAGCACCCCAGACTTATCAGTGTTCAGGAAAGCTCCCTTCAGTGCATGACCAGCAGTGAAATTGCAGGGACGTGCAGATAAATTTGAATAAACCCATTTCTGTGAAGGCATAAAGAAGAAACAATGAGGAGTTCAAATGTCAGAGCTCCCTGATTAATTTTTAATGATTTCCAATTCTTGCTGAGGGTCCCAGTATCAACATTTTTACTCAGTTATTTGCCCAGCAGTCATCCTATCCATATTTGATATGGGATAATTAGCAACTGGCTTAGAGAAGCGCAACCCTTTCCACCATCTGCACAATCAATATTAGCAAGTGTTCTGGTTCCTAGGGGTAGTCCTGTATTTTCTGAACAGCTCTTGATTTATTCAAAGAGATGTAACGATCATGAAAAGTGTTGAACTTGCAGCCTGCTGTTGACAGTGGCTCTGTTTGGCCTCATTAGGTGTGATACCAACATCTGTCCATGGATGGAGGCCACCTGCTCGTTTCATGTGACTTCAGAAAACCATCAGCTGCTAAAGACCCAGACATTCAGCACATCCAGCCGTGCCAGGGTAAAAATGAAGGTGTTTGTGCTTCCTCATCAGCCTTCCAATTTCATCTTCTGTCGCCATTTATTGTGTTACAACTTCCTGTGATCCTTTCAAGGAGTAACAACAGGCCTTTGTCCTTTCAGGCTGGCAATTTGCTCTCACCCAGACAGCCTGAGATGGCAGTGCTGCTTTCACTGGTGTGATGACTGGAGGATGCCCAAGCTGTGAAGGATCAAGAGGGTAGATGGTTTGTACACACTGAGAAATAAGGACATTCACCAGCATGGCTTCCCTGTTGGAACAGGTGATGTATTAACATGAATTTGCAATAAACACCTAAAAAAATAAACCCATTTTGCTGGTCACTAACATATGAAATTAGGCCTCGTGCCTTCTTTCCCTTAAAAAACCCCCTCTGTACAGAGCAGCTTACATCATATTTTATTAGCCAAGAGAACAGTTGATTTAACGACAACAACTCTTTTTTTCTTTCATGTCTTTGTTTCCTTCCCTTTTCCTCTCTTATATGGGAGTTTATATTATGATGAATAAAAACAGAGAGATAAATGGTGTTAAAGCTGTGTCAGCTGCAGCTCAACAAGTACCTTTATCAAAAGGACAGACCATTCCTGAAATCTTAAAGGGGTATTCTTCTTCAGAATGCAATTCTAGCAAAGTACTGGAAAACTCTCCTGCTATTAAATTAATATGTCCATTGATTATGCATGCATTCCAAATGGGAATTTATGCTGTGTTAGACAATAATGCACTTGTATGATTTTTCAGCTCAATAGAAATGATGATCTTAATAAGCATATTAAATTGGGAGGCACTATCTGATGATGCACATTTTATTTCACTGCTGACAAACTGAATTACATGCTGAAGGTTTGCAGTCAAATTGAAACCTAGTCAGTTCATAAAACTGATTTAATAGCAGGTTCCTGTAGCATGGTACTCCTGCACCCTTGGCTACTGTGGTTTTTAAATCCAGTTTTTCTCATCTCCTTCGATGAAAATGTTTTAACCTCTTTGGGGCATTAAGAAAAGTGAAAAGGGGCACAAGAGTGTAGGTGACACGCTGAAACCTGACACATTTGGTGATGTGAAAGCTGACAGTGTTAAAGTCAGCAGGAAATAGTGAGTGGAAATTCTCCCAAAAAGTACAGCAACATACACAATAAAAATGGGCAATAGCATTGATACTGCTATGCATCTCCCAAACTGAACAAATTAAGCATTTTCAGAAGAAAATGAGTGTTTTTGAAAGAGATATTTAACCTTTGATTAGTTAAAAAATAAATGCTGTATTATAATTTAAAATTTATTGAAGCAAATGGTATCATTTTTCAGAGAAGCCTCTGAAGAAAAATGTTGGTTTTAAACTTTTTTCCCCTGAGAGGATTCTCTGTGGCTGTGTTGCATGATTTTTCCTTGTGCTTAGTCACTGTACTCTGTGATTCCTGCTCTACCTTTCTTATTCTTGGCAAACCGTAATCTTGGAAGGCAGCTCCGTGATTTCGGTATGCATATAATTTTACGTAGTTGATGAATCCAGCATGCAATAGTAAACAGCAGGGAGGGGCTCAATGCAAACTCATTTGTTAGTTTTCCCACTTGGAGGCTGTTATTTTTATAAATTACTTATATTGGACACTGTGGGAGTGCCCTTTTTCATATACACTGAAGTACTTCACTGGCCCCAGGAGTCGCTAAGACTAGTGGATTTTAATAGTTATAGATCTTAAATGAAGGGTTAGAAATTGTTTCTTTTCATTACAATTACAACAAGGAATTAACCCCAGGGGTATCCACTTAATTTCATAATATATAGACTGGAACGCTAATAATGTGTCTCTCCTAAAATGTAATAAAGAGGCAACTGCCCCTTGGCTCCCTGGGGTAGATTTTTGTGAAACGGATTGCAGAAATGTAACACAAAGAAGATTTTACGGTAACAAGCCCTGCAGTGTCACCGGCTCCGGTGCTCAGAGTGCTCTGCAGCTCCTGCACATCCAGTGTTGGCACTGGAGTTAAACAGCAGCACTTTGGGGTTGCTTCGCTGGCACGGGGCAGAATAAAACAGGCAGGGAAGGAGCGGAGGGTGATTTATTTACAGCTGAGCACACCAAGAGGGGAGAGAGCCAGGGAGGAAGAGGGAGTACAGTAGCACAGAGTAATGACTTCCTTCGAGGGCAGCTCGGACCTGTCCCCTGGCCAGGTTTCCTGTGTTATTTTAATCTCCCGTGCCCTTTTGCAGAACAAACCTCACAACTGGCAGCGAGTGAACTCCGGTGCGTTTGCTGCTGGGTTTGCACTCGGGAGTAGCAGAGCAGCTCTGACCTCTCGGTCATTATGGGTGGTGGCTGTGGAACAGATTCCTGGCCGAGATCTTGAACGCTGGATCGGGCTGCGGGTTTAAATCCAGGTTAAAGACATGTCTGTTTGTTGGTGGGTTTAATGGGATCTGACCAGATACAGTACCCTGGGAAAGCTCGACAGTAAAGGCAGCAAGAAAAGTAGTACGTGAGCTGTGCCTGTTTTATCCTGAAAGAAAAAAAATCAGTTATAGAAGAATTGTTTTGGTTTGATTTTTAATTGTAAGGCTTATGGACATTTCTGAGATTGTTGTTTCTTAAGGAAAATTCACCAGGAAAGACATAACTGGCCAATTTCTTTTTTCCTTTAATTATGCATGATATGCTCAGAATTCTATGTGCCTATTTTTATTGCAGATATTCTGTTTGTAGCTGCACATTTAAATAACTGTCCTGACTGATCATGGGTATATGCAAATACTCAGCTGATACGTTTGTCCCTACCCTCTAAAATTGAATTCCCCCAGTTATTCAGGTGAGTATCTGTGGCTTGTACACATTGATTGGACTCCTAATCCCAAAAGTTGGAAATGCAAAATTGTGATCTTTGAACTAACTTTTCTAGTTTTTCCAGATTCTCTGAACTGGTAAGTGCCATGTAATTTATGTAAAATTTTCTGTACTGATGCAGAATTACCTGCCTTTAACAGAGTTACTGCTGCTGTCAGAGGTGTGCCAGGGCAAGAGAGAACAGATGTCTAGAAGGCTGCCAAGAAAGGGAATGGCAATGGAAGATCCCCTTGACCTGCTGGCCAAACACAGCCCTGGGTAGCATTGGCCTTCTTTGTTTGTTTAAAAAGCCAAACAAACAAACTGAAAGAGCTGGCCTCTGGCACGTTCAGCTCACTGAAATGCAGAGGGTTGCTTTCTTCTGTGGTACCTTCATGAGGTCTCAAGTCTTCCCTCACCTTTTCTCGTGTTTTCTTTTTCCATTCCTGCTTTCCATGGATAGTCACTTCAAATTTTTGACTGATAGCTCCATCTTTAAAGAAAAAATTAAAATCACAAAGCAAACTGGAAGAAAATCTAAATTCATAAGTCCTTCCAGCTGCTTTCTGTTAATTTTATTTTATTGGTATTAAATTTGGTATTTCTGGGCCTTTTTTTCCCTTTACTGGCATTATATTAAAATGGGGAAAAATATTTACATAACAGAATTTATGTTTTAACAACTTTCATCACCTTCTCCATGTTGTGGTGTTAATGTTCCCAAACGTATCCTGAAGCCAGTCCACTCAGTAACAACAACAGCAAGAGTAAAACTGTCAAGGAAGAACAGGAGAGGCAGAATGGAAGTTCAGCATGTAACTGAGGCTAGAAGGGTCTCTGAAAAGTTCCAGGGTTAAAGGAAATGCTTGCAGCCATTGCTCCCACTCAGGAGTAATTACTCATATGTGATGGAGTAATAATTGCAGTTGAAATCATATGAGTGGCTTGAACAATCAACATTACGATCATGGAGCGTAATCTGGATTCTAATCAAGGACAAATTAAAAATAAAATGCTAGGGATCTCTTCGAGAACTATTTCTGTAAATAGTAGAGTTGTTTCACTAGGTGAAGTCAAATGGAAGCTGTGTGTGTGAGGAGCAGAGCTCTCGTGCTAAGTTCTTCCATTTCTTCCGTCCATTCACAGGTGATACAAGAGCGAGACATTTCAAGGGAGATCTGTGTCATAGCAAGATAACAAATGTGATGTACTTCACAAACAATGTTATCTCCTTCAAGCAGATAAAAATATAGATACTATAGGTTAGGTGCCAGTTTGTTTCACAGGCATTACCTGCTGTAAATCACTCCTGCTGTATTGCCGTGTATCTACTCATATTGTACCCACCTTCTGCGTCCCTAGAATATATTAATTTGTAAGGTAAAAAATGTGTGGTAAAACATATTATAAAAAATGGAGGTACTCGAGAGCTAGAAGCAAAAATCTGAAGCACTTTTTCCCCCAGGTATTATAATTTTTGCCTTTTTTGTGCTGCCTCCTTCCAGTGATAGATCAGTATGTGCTTTGTCTCCCAGTATGGGGGATTTCTGTGATAGGCACCAGATGTCCTGTAGCCTTTATTCTAAAATCCCTATTCATTTTAAATAAAAGATGGATGCCTACCCTTAATTACAGCAGGGCAATATAGTCCTGGTCCATTTCTGAGGTTTTTGGAGAGGTGTAAAAAATACATTTCATCATAAGTACTGAGGTCATGTTCACGTAGGGAATTGTTTTGGGAAGCAGACTATAAAGTGGTTTTGGTTTGGGGTTTTTTTTGAGAATAATACCAAGCGTGTACAGTCCAAATTGTCCTGGAATTCTCTGTGTGTTGGGCAGGGTGTGAGAGCCATGGACTCCTGCCTGCAGCAACACCCACAGACACAGCAGGATGAGCAACACTGATCTGGACACTTAGGAAAGGCAAGGGAAGGGAGGAATGTTTGGAGTACTAGATTAGGTGATGTAAGTCTTGAAAGTGCCTCCTCATAAACTGCCATAGGGAGCCCATGTCAAGGTGATAGAATAAAATGCCACGATGTTTACAGTCAGCTGGGGGGTAATGCTGACTGCTTTGCTGGAGGTGTGATACATGGGCTGAAAGGCTGGGGATATAAAAACATAAAAATACCTGGGCCTTAAATGAATTTCTGGAGAGGAGAAAATAATAGGATTCCTGATTATTTGTCCCAAGAGAATTACAGTTATGTGGCAGTTAGAATAGTGAAAGGAGACCTCAAGTTGTCATCATCAGTGAACATAAACCTTCTACTAGAAAAACCAGTGGAAAGCAGTGGGTGGGCTGGCCAGAGCTCAGCAGCTTGTGCAGGGCACCCCAGTGTCAGAATAACCCTGCCCTGCTGCCCAGCTCTGCCTGTGCCCTGCTCTCCAGCGGGGCAGAACCTTGGGAGGGTTTGGCACAGGGGAGATTGCACAGAGCCTTTCACCCTGTGCTGTTCAGGGAGCCTTGGAGCAAAAGCAGCAGGAATTCCTGGTTATAAATGATGTGGAACCAAAAGAACACAGTGCACCACGTGGCCAACCCTTTATCTTCACTGGGACAATACTGGTGTGGAAGAGCATGGGCTGAGAACGGGAGCAGCTTTTGAGAACTGAGGGAAGGATTTCTGTTACTGAAGTGGGGCAAGCAGTCTTTTACTCATCTCTGGCCAAGATGTGTCATATTCTTTTATTAAATCATACTCCTTTTATTAAGAAAATCCAAGTGGGTTCTTCTTGCTTTCACAGTACCTGTGTAATACACTGAAGTTCACTGGAGAAAAAGAAAATCATTCTGCTTTCATCCTAAAGTACATCTTATTGAGAGTTGTAAATATACTACACTCTCATATGCAAACTCGCAAAGCAAGATTTGTGCCATTTTTCTCAGAAAAAGACCATTTGAAGTTGTATTAATGTCTTTGGGGAGATATAACTGTCCGGAAGAACGAAGGTACACCGAGGTCTAGGAGGTAAGTGGGTAGAGAATTCATTCTGATTTAAGCAACTTAATTATTACTTGGGTTTGGTTGAACCAGTAAAGGTTGTGCAGATCATTCATTTTTATTATTAAGAGAGAAATGGTCTGATCACAGCCAAGACATTTTTCATGGTCTTTCTTATTTACCTTGAGCAAAGACTGATGAACAGCTGTGCTTAGAACCAGAGACTGCAGCTCTCAGCCTCACTTTTTTTGTGGTACAAAAGCACAGCTTACTGCTTGAAACTTCCAGCCCAACTGCTTCTCTGCACTGTGTCTGTTGTAATGCATGCTTTTCTGCACCAAATAAACCCTTTAACGTGACGAAATTCACCACAGGAAGCGGTAATGCCATGTCTGTTTAAACTGCATACAATCCATTTCCATATGAGCATTAAGGTACCAGCTAAAAGGCTTGCAGAACACCTGGTGTCCGTATTGTTTCCTTTGTTGTTGTTCAAGACCCTAGAGAAACCATAAGTAGGTGTAGCTAAACTAATGTCAGTACTAATGCTGTGTCTCTAGTTAGGGGGGAGCAGAGGAGGATTGGAAACACTTCAAAGCTGCAGAATTGTTGTGAATAGTGTTTGTGAAAGACAGCAAAGCAGCAGCACGATCCTGCTATTGGGGGGGGGGGTTTCAAAGACACAAAGACAGGTGATAGAGTAAATTACTGTGCCATTGAAGCTGCCTGAAGTGAGGTGTGTTGTCATGTCTTTGAAATGCTGGGATCCCAAACCTCGGCACAGTGGACTGGAGGCTGGCACCGTGGTGTGTGTTGCACAGTGTTTGTGTGGCCAGAGCAGTCAGCCAGCATGTGCCAGACTGGGTGCACTTCTCTCCTCATCCTCCTTGAAGAGCTGGGCCCTTCTCTTACCTCTAAAAGATGTGCCAGCCTCCCTCACGGGGCCAGATGGCACTGCAGGCGGTTTTCAAGCGGCAAAGATATTGCTCGAGGAGTTGCTGCACTCTTATTTTTAATTATGAAATATTTAACAAAACAAAACACTTTCAGCAAGAGTTAAGTAACTCTTTTCCTCCCCCCCAAGACTTTGTAAATGGGAGAGTGGAAGGTTGGACATGTGAGCCGAAGTCCCTTCCAGGCAGGGAATTGTGTCCAGGTTTTACGTGTGAGGAATGAGCGCTCCTGGTCTGGGAGAAGCCTAATCTATTGCTTGTGTTTACTAGAGAGGTCTAGAAGATGAGAAGATCAAGCAGTTGCCCAATTTGTGGATCCAGACTGGACTTTGGTGGGGATTTGGCACCTGTTTCATTCACAGGTACTGGGATGTGTGATATGTGAACAAATTGCTGTGTACAAAGAAGTGAAATTACTGTATCAGCTGCAGTCTATTATGTGCTGTACATGCAAGCAATCTTTGCCATTTCTGAGTGAGGGAGGAGGTGTTGTTGATTAATGTTGATTTATGTTCCATAATGTTCAAAATCCTTGAAGCATACCCAAAATCATAAAGTCACGTGTGTGATGATCCTTGTGGGTCCCTTCCAACTGGGAATATCCTGTGATAATTCCAGGTTTCTTCTTTGGCTGTTCTGGACTTTGAACCATTAAAGAAAGCCACTTTCTGGTGGTTAAATGCAGTGTGTGTGTGTCAGCAGCTGCTTCCAAGGCTGTGGAGCTGTTGGGGTGGGTCGGGGGATTGCAGTTTTACCTGAGGGGTCTGTGGGAGTTGAGCAGTCATGACTGTGCTGTCAGCAATTCATGATCTCAGAGCTGTGGTAATGAACCTTTTCTGCTTCCAGTGACTGAACTCCCCAATATCCTCTCCTGCAACGCTTAATATAGAAGCACTTGAGTATTTCTTTATATAGTTCTGGATATCTGCCTTTTATTAATTTCCCTCTGGAAACCTCTCTTTGAAGTTTAAGCATTTGAATACCTTAAATTACCTGACTGTCAATGAATCAAAACCAGATGCAACAGAAGTTACACATGTTTATGGCAAACAAGCCAATATTTCCACTGTGTATGAGCAGGAGACCAACATCATAACATGTTGACTGTGACACTAAATGTGCTACCCAACCTCTTTGTGTGTGTTCAGTAGTCCACAAAATTATGATGATGATACCTATTATACACAACTAAACAGTGTGGAGAATTAATTCATTAATGTTTGAAAAGAACTTTGAGATCCTGCAGCAGAAGGTAGTACACAGCGCTAATTTGTTATTCTCTATTATCAGATTCAACAGGACGCAGTATAAATCTTTAAAAAGCAAACAAAAAGCTAATCAGGAGTCACTTATTCTCACTGTCAAAGCTGGTAATGACCAAATAGTCTTGTTGTGGAAGTACAAAAAAAAAAAAAAAATAAAAAAAGTAATCCATGCTACTTGGTATGTTGAAGCAGCAATTAGTACTCATTGTAGGGAAGAGAAGTGGAGCTAGACCAGAAATGAGCCTTGATGAGCCTAATTGCCTTTAATTATCCCTAAACATTTTCTTGTTGTCTGTCTTATGAAGACAGAAGAAACCCTGTAGTTCTGAAAGGAAATAAGACTTGGTTTTGTTTTCCTCTTTTAAAGAGGAACATAATAGCCACCATGGAAACATGTTCTTAATCAAGGACATTAAGCTCCTGGCTGCTCTGCTTCTCTTGAAACTGCCTAGTTCATTATTATCAGAGGAAGGGGGACAGGAGGGGCTTTAATCACTATTTAGCTTTTCTTAGCAAATTAAAATATTAATTACGATACACGTTATTTTATCTTTGCTTAAGCTATTTGTAAGTATTGGTGAATAAGAGCTCATTTCATGTCGGACTAATTTATTCTCAAACTATTCAGACTTCTTACTTTTTCAATTCCTTTTAAAAAATCATTGGGTCATGAAATGCTGTCTTGCAAGAGCTGAGAAAAAACCTGAGAAGTGCTTAGTGCAGTACATTCAAATGCTGTGGGAAGGGGAGCAGTGGAAGGCCAGACACCCCCAGACCAATGACAGGTGTATCTTCTGTTCATATTTATATGATGGAAAGCCATAACCAACCTGATTTGTTTTGGTTTTGGGAATAATGGAAAAGAGAAGAGGAGACTTTTTGTAAAATAAACTCTCGTAGGAGATCCATGGCCTCTGGAAATCTACACCTCTCGAAGCCTAAGTAATATTAATGATGTTGGTTTGGTTGATGGAATACAGAAATATGGAGGGATTAGAAAAGCAGTTTATAAAATGAACATGATCAGCACTATCATGCATCTCCTGTGAACATCAGATACCTTTTCTTGGTGTGCCCATGCCACTTTACATTTCTCATGGGAACTTTCTGCTGTTACGTTACAGAAGGGAAGAAAATTTGCAGAAAGGGAAAAAAAATCAACAATGCCTCTGCATCAAATTGTGACTCAGTAAACTTTTTTTAAATTAAAATGTATGCTGGGATAAATCAGTATAGTTCCATTAGCTCTGTTGAAGCTGTGTTGATTTATACCAACTGCAGGTATAACTAAATTCATCCATTCAAGCAGTTTGTGTAGAATTACGTGGAAGGCAGTAGGAAACACAGAGCAGTGTGTCAGAGGTGTAGTTTTACACACATTGCTGCAGGTCACTGAGCAGTAGAGAGAGAAAACCAAAAGTATATTGCTATTTTTCACCAAATGGTGGCCTGTGGCTTCTCACTTCCTTATGATGGTCTTGCAGAGGTTGTGGATATTGTTGGAAAAAGCAGGGCATGACTGTAAGTAGCTGTGAGAGCTTTAAGGCTCCATCATGAGAGCCCTCCTAGTCACTGGATGTGCATCTGTGTTCTCAACATCTGAAGGTGTTAAACCTAAAAGATATGTGGACTGATTTTAATTAAATCAAGTTACTAAAATTAAGTCTACTGATAAACAGAAGGGAAAAGCCATTATGAATCTGGCCTTGAAAGAAAACTATTCTGTCTTTTTTTTTTTTTTTTAAACAGTCAAGTTAGTTCAGAATAAAAAGTTAAGTGAAATTTGCCAGCAGCAACTTCCAGTTCAGTTCAGTTCTAGACCTGACCTCTTTTACCATCGTGACCTCTTCCTTTCACCTTAAAAAACAAATACTTGAAAAGCTCAGGGTATGTGTGCAGAAAGGGCTGAGCAACCCAAACAAGATTTTTAATTGTAGCCATGGGATATGCATCTCAGGAGACACGCCACCAAGTCAGAGGATTTTCTTTTCTTAATTGCAGGAGCCTTGCACAGCCTCTCTGCTAGACATTCCTGCTGCCCTACATTATTGATGTGTTCTGGCTCACTGGTCCTTATTTATTTTGTATGACACCTCGTTCTGCTGCCCCAGTGCCATGTTTTCTGAGTCTTTTCTGGTTGTTCTCGTGATTGTTGCTATTGTTCTTATGATACAAGGAAAGCTGAGAAAAATACATTATAAAGCCTGGCTACAGCACGTCTCCTGACAGCACAACCAAAACATATGACCTAAGCACAGATAAAACCAGCATTTGGTTGTTTCTGCGGGCCTGTATCTCACCCAATTCCATTTCCTTTTTTTGTGTGTGGCTGCTTCTGGCCTCCATGTGACAGGAAGATTTTTTTTTTTTCCCCAGCACCCAGACTACTGCAATGCCATCCTTTCCTTGCAGCTTTCTAATAACTAGTGACCCAGGGTCTTTAGTCCAAGAAAGTGATTTTTTGGAGTGGTGGAATGCTAAATGTTTGCCACCTTGGAGACTTTGAGGATTTGGACCATCCAGTAGGACCATTAAATCACTTTCTGATTTGTTTTCTCCTCCCATGTTCAAATTCATTTTCTTCATTGCACACGAGTAAGAAATTTTGACAAGATTTCCCCCCTGCCAGACTGCTCAGTTTAATTTTCATTTTCCATGGAACATATCTACTAACAGTAGTAGCATGTGGGCTTGATCTGAGCAGTGCACTTGGCCATACTTGGGTTTTCACTTTAAAGGGTTCATTGTGTTCCAGCTGCTCCCAAAGCAGATGCTCTCCATCAGAGCTGCCCTCCCCCGGCACTCAGGATGTGTGGCTTTGTATGGAGATTTACTGAAGGAGTTTAAGCTCACACAGCTTCTGCTGCTGCCTTAACAATGCCCTCCCCCACCAGGCTGCCTGGAGTAACTAATGCCAGTTCCTGGCTGAACTGAGAAATTAAATCCTTAATAGTAAAATATCTATATTATCTGCTGGCGGATGATGAATTGGTGGGTTTGTGTAGGATTATGTACATCTTACCCACAGATGTTTGACCTTTCTTTAGACATGTGTTACTTATGTGCTTAGTGAGAATGGGGTTGGCTTTCCAGACAGAGGTTGGATCAGGCCTTTTGAAGGCTTTGTTTGTGCTTCTCTGTGGCAGAATCAATGCAAGAGAGCAAATGGTCGCTGCTATTTGCCTCTTTACCTGTGTCAGCACAATTCACTACAGGCTGAGAGGAAACCAGGAGTTAGAAGGCTTTTGGGGGGCAGAGGGGAGAGAAGTTAATAGGAACCATGTTAGTACAGCTGCTGGACGTGTAAGTTTTTATTTGCTCTCTGATCTTTGCTGGCTGTATATGAGGCAGCAGTTCAATGCAGAGTTTAGTCCTGAAATCAGGTGTAGCAGCTGGGATGCCACAGTTCGGATTGGAAGCCAGAGGCAGCTGTTTTTACAACAGCAAAATCCTGCATCAGTGTCTCACTGGTCCCATTGATCTCACAGCCTGTGTAGAGACCTTAGCTGCTCTTACTCTCAAAGGTACAGCTCTGTCTTCCTGAGGATATGGCCTTTGAAGAGTGGAAGGGCTGTTATGATCCTCAAGGCAGGGGAGATTGGGTTTCCCAGCTCCTGGTAAGCTCAAAGAGAGACTGAGCTGGGATCCAGTGGCCTGTTCTAGAAATGCTAAAATGGGATGAAAGCAGCAACTTCTGCTGAGTTCCTGGTGATCCCCTTGATGTAGATATTTTTATTTTGTTTTTATACAACAGTACATTCAAGATCTTTGATTTTCTTATATGAATGACTTAACGTATGTGCAGCTTGCTTCGAGCCTAGGAAGACATGAAGAGGTCTTCCAGACCTAGGTGGTCATTTATGCTGCATCAGCCCTTTACCACCTCTTTGTGTGTCAGTTATTTCGTTAGATTGCATTTCTGTTGCTTCCAAAAATGCTCTGAAGGTAAAGCAGCCTCATTAGACTGACTGTGCAAAGTCAGCCACAGCGGAGCCTGGTGCTGACCTCTAAATCTGATCAGCAGCAAACCCTTGACCTTTATGCCATCTCATCATCACACAAATATAATTGTGCTGCAGAGTGATGCTGTACAAAGTTAGCAAAGACAGTGCTGGTATAAGCAATAGCACAGTGTCTGCAGAGTGGGCCTTTGACAGACAGTTCTGCTCCTCATCGGTCCATCTGAGTGCCCAGTGGTGTGACTGTGCAGCTCCCAGCAATTAGCTGTTTAATTCCAAGGCAGCTGTTATTCATGGAAATGCAGGGTGCAGGATATCCTTACCCTGGGAAGTGGTACAGTTATGTTAATCATCATCTCAGCTCCTTCAGGTCTGCAACCCTTAGGAATAAGTACAGAGAATGGAAAATCCAGGATTACAAAAGATTAAACTGAGACTGTAAAGGAAACCTGACTCAAACCAAAGCTGTGGTGTTTATGAGTGAATATTTTCCACTAACGTAATTTTTCAAAGTTTTAATTTGTGTTTTCAGTTCTGCCAACCGTGGTAGCTTCTGTTTTGGGCAGGATGAAATTGGAAACACTAACAAACACTCATCCAAACAGCAGCTCAGTAGTGAAAGCAGAAGCCTTGACTCTGGAGACTACTGAGGTGGTATCTTAAAGTGAAATTGCTAATAAACCACCATATTAATTAGAAGTCTCCTCATTTCTGGTCTTTGCTGTATTTTCTTCCTTCGCTTTCTTCATTGCTCAGCAGCAAGCTTTTGTTTTATGAGCAGAGTACATGTTAGTCCTGTGTCAGCAGCCTGTATGTGCTTTGTGTGCCACTGAATTTCACTTAATTGCATTGAATTACACTTGTGTCCACTGTGAGCATGGGATGAACATCACCTCTTGGGCACTGCTGTGTGGCCTCTTGTGGATAAGAATTAGTGTTCCACTGTTATGAAATGGATTCTCACCCTAATTTTTGGACCCAAACTGGTTGGTTGGAAAGTTTCCTTCTGCTGCTGTAATAGTTTTCCTTCCTTCCTGGCGAAAAAAAAAAAAAAAAAAGAAAGAAAGAAAGAAAGAAAGAAAGAGGTAAATCCTAAAGTCATGTATACATATGTATTATATATTTAAATCTATTAATATATATAGATATATACAGTGGGCATAGGTACCTCTGATAATCCCTCAGAACTCAGTAAAAGATAAAGCAGATGTGTTTTGATATCTTTCTGAAGGTGTCATGTAAAACACAGCATAGTTCATATCACAGAATGATTGTGGCACTGACACATTCCTTCAGAACAGGAGCATCCCTGCTGAAAAATCTCCCTGAAGGCTGAAGTCCAGCCTCCTGGCTCCTCAATGGCCATGATTTTTTAGTTCCTACCACCTGTAAAATTGACAGATCTGCTTTTGTCTGCCTGCAGTGTTATCTGGAAAAAACGAATCTTCAATTGCAGCTGAAGGTAAATTTATGTCTAGCATTTGACACAGGTTCAAGAAGTCCTGTGGCAATGCAGTGTTGAATACAATCCAACCCCTTCTCTCACAGTTGTCTTTGACATTTCAGGGTTTTATTTTAGTTTAAATAACCTTCGTAACTGTGTTTTCAAGATAGGTTTTCATCTCCTTCACCTATTTGACACTGTCTGCAGTGAATGCCAAGTAATCAATACTTCTGACCTGGGATTTGTTTTGCAGCCCAAGATTGGTGTTAAAATTTTTCCCACACTGTAATGGATAAAATTAGGATAGAAGAGAAAGGTAAAAATGAAAACTGAGACTCTCAAGATATCAGCAAATTAAAGTCTGTCTTCTTTCCTATTGTTC